TTAATGATATAGATGAAATTTTATTTTTTTATTATTAGATAGCTAATTTTGTTTCTGAGTTGTGTTCATTTACAGGCTCAATTTTTTTCCGTTTCTCCTTTTTGATTTTATATGGGGTTTCAAGTTGTTTTTGACTTATTTCGACGTAAATCACAACAACACACTTTTTTAATAAAGCAAACAAGTGTTAAGAGGTATATGTACGTGTAAACTACAATTACAAAAAATTGATATGAAACCCATGAAACCACCAACAAAAATGTAAAGCTAGCTTCCGTACTAGAACATGGTGTCATTCGTCGAGATAATTTATCGTTTTGTTTAATAGATAAAGAAATGTAAATATTCCCCTGTTATTTTTTATAAAATTATAAGAGAAATAAATTTTTTTCTAAATAGTATAGTTTATTATTTTGTAGAAAAACAAAATTTCCAAAATTTTAGTAATGTTTCAGAAACAACCGTTATTAATAATAGGTACCATTTTCCTTAATAAGGTAGAAATAAAATATAAACTATTTCCATGATTTACAAAGGCCTACAAAAAAATTATAGGTATTTTCCGCTATCCTATAAAATTTATATTTTCTGACTCAATTTCAAAAGGTTGAAGGAATTCCAAAACACCTTTTATGGCATAATAATTATTTTCAATTCTACATACTATCTTTAGCTGCTTTTAAAAACGTTCTAAGAAAGTCCAATCAGACCAATTTATTCCCTAAACTATTCCACACTTTTAAAATTTAATTACCTAAAAATATTAAAAACTATTTAAAATAACTTGTTTAGCAGACTGTACAATAGCTATCTTAGTCACACGTAGCGCGTTCTCTGTCTGGGCGTCGAACACCTCTAGAAATTTGATGAACTGTAATACTATTTAATCTCTTTAAAAATTATTGAATATTTTCATCTCTCATTAAATTTCTAATAGTATTTTTATCCCTAGAGAAATTTTTGAACAATACTTTACCCTTCAAGCAATTTCTAATACTATTTTATACTTCGGCCAATTTTTTACCTCTCAAGCCATTTTTGAACAATATTTGATCTCTCGTGCAATTTTTCAACAATGTTTTATCTCTCGAGAAATGTCTACTATTTTATCTCTGAAGTAATTTTTAATAACTATTTTGATTTCTCTTGCAATTTTTGACCAATATATTTTACACTTCAAATGGAAACATACCTACGCTGAAAAAGTACTAGATTTTGTTTCGAGTGTACTAGAGTACCAGATTCTCAGAGAATGTACTAGATCTAGTACAATTGTACTAGACTGGCAACACTGATAGTGACCCATGTCGGGAAAAGTGTCACTACGGCACTACGGCCCTAAGACGCGTTAAAATTTAGAAAGACGATGAATTGCCTAAATAGGATTTAATGCATTTAATTTTTGCCTTTTGTACACAACAATTGTTCAAAATGTCTTCCTCTAACCTGAATACACCGATTTAAACGTCGCACATGATTTCGGCGGACTTGACTAAAAATTTGATGCTCGTTTTGAATGATTTTAAATGCTGATGTAATTCGTCCAATTAAGTCTTGCTCTGTTTTTACTGGACTTTTGTAGAACAAAGACTTTACATGTCCCCACAGGAAAAAATCTAGCTACGTTAAATCGGGTGACCTAAGAAGCCAAGAAACTGCTCCACCTCTGGCAATCCAACGGTGCCCAAACCGCTGAGCCAAATCCTCACGTAATTGTACAGCAAAGTGAGCTAGCGCTCCATCATGCTGAAACCACATTTGCTTTCGAACGTTTATTGGAACATTTTCAAGAAGTTCTGGAAGAACTTCCTCCAAGAAACACCGGTAAATAGGTCCTCTTAACCGTTCCGGTAGAAGGTATGGCCCAATCAAATAATCATTAACAATGCCTGCCCGTACGTTGACAGATCAACGTTGCTGATGTTTTCTAGGAAAAATTGCATGGGGATTTTCTTCGTCCCAAACATGGCTATTCCTACTATTAAAAATACCGTCTCTTGTGAAAGAGGCTTCATCGGTCCATAAAACATAGCGTAAAAAATTTGGTTGTGCAGCGATTTGATGAAGAAGCCATTAACAAAATTGAACTCTAGGATGATAATCGGCTGCAGTCAACTTTCTGGAAGTGGTAAGGATAAACTTGTTGCTCGTGTAGCACCCGCCAGATGGAAGCGTTACTCGTATTCATATCCTTAGCTATGTGACGTGTGCTACTTGATGGTTCGTCGGCAACTCGCTGAAGGACCTCTTCTTCAAATTCGACCGTTCTTACGGTTTTAGCAACACCAGTATTATGCATGTTGGTTTTAAACATGCCTGTCTCGAAGAGCCGCCGATGAATAGCAATAAACTTTTTGTATCCCGGATGCTGTCGTTTGGGATAACGTTCTTGATACAACCGCGCTGCTGCTCGTGCATTGCAGCTTGTTGCTCCGTATGCCAAATGCATATCCGCCAAATGTTCACTCAAATGTTGCCAATCATTGTAGCTATTTTCATGAGTCAATTGAGCTTATGCAGTGTTACTGTTAAATATTCTGGAACAAAAACAAGACACTAAATTTTTTCGCTACCGAGTATGGAAGCCAATCATGCTTGATTTTTTCATTATTTGGCAAAATTGGAGTGAGGTATGATTCAGAAAATGTTCGCCTCGTCTTGTCTTTCGGAAACACGCAATTTGAATTGTTATAATATGTTGAAACATTTTTTATCAGAAGTTCAATATTCATTAGAAACAATATTGTTGCACTGGTTTTTAATATACTCAATTTATTAACAAATCAACTGTTAGAATTCAAGTATTAACTTTAAAGTACAACGTCTATTATCCAACTTAAACTGTGATGTCAGGATCATCGAACCGTTCAGATGTTTCTTGACACTGAATGACATTTCTTCTATTTACTTCTGACAACCGCAGCAAATTTTAGTGTGATGGGTGACATTATGGAGGCATAAGAGATACATTGAACTTCTTTTATTCGTACGTTTCCTATAACAGCCGCAGGCTACTATAGGGTGCAGGATAACATTTCCCTCTCCTCTAATTATTCGTCCCGAATTACTTGATTACCGGGACCTGGTTGAGCCAACGGGAAGGATCTCTACCCCTGTATGCCGCTAGCTTTTCAATGTGAACTACCTTGGGTTTACTTCCCGCTGACAATCAAATGGAGTTTTTCGGGTCATTAATTTTCTTGATGACGGTGTAGGGTCCTGCCCAGTTCCATTGCAGTTTATGACAAAGTCCTATTCGGCCCTTGGGATTGTACAGCCACACTGGGTCGCCTCTCTGAAAGTTTGTACCTGTAGCCTGTATGTCGATTCTAGGTTTTGCTTTATCACCGTTGATCATTAAACATTCCTGAGCGAATCCGTAGTCCTTTTTTCTGCTATTGCATAAATCACATTTTTTACATCTGTCGGCAATTGTCTCAATAAAATCTTTGCCGAACTCGTGTCAGTGTCTTTTTAGTAGCAAAATGTCCTCCTTAACTGTTGCTATAAAGCTTCTCCAACACACTTCTGACATGTGATTTCGGTAGTACCAATTGGCGTACTATGTACTTCATCGAAGTTCTCCCAGTCTAGTTATCTTTAATAGATCCACATTTGGCTTTGACTTTATTTTTCAGCTATTCTCGGACTATCTTCAAGTCATTGTCTTCCTTTTGCTCCTTTATCAGGCTTACAGGGGTATTTTTCTCTTCGGTACCCTCTGACTTGATATTCGTTGCCTGAAGACCAACTTCTTCAACCGGAGCCTTTTACCGTACCGGCATTGTCGTTCTAAACAAGGTCGAAAATGACTGTGTTGCTATGGAGATGGCCTCGTTGATGCTCTACTTTCCTGGTTATTGCTAGAAAACCAGCTAGGTGTGGGTGATCGACTTCTCCGAGAAGTATATGTTATTTCTTATTGGACTTCGTAAAGGGTTTCGGGAGATTAATCTAGGTGACTTTTTGGCCTCATTTTCCGATTCTCGATTTATAGAACGAGCCCTGCTTCTACAGGTTCTTTGAAGATGCCCGATTCTTCTACAACTGAAGCATCTTCTGATTTTATTTTGGCTGTTTCTTTGCATATTTTGCAGGATGTTTAAGATTTGTGAAAGAGTAGGTTGGGGTATAGTATTAGTATTGACCTCTTCACTTTCCTGAAATCTAATTTCTCTCACTTTCGAGCAAAAAGATCAAGATATGAGTTTTGCTGCTTTATATTCCTGGGCTGCAATCAGTTTCTCCCTCAGCGTCTTGTAAAAATGTAGCCGAAGAGCTTGCTGCATGTCCACATCTTATAGTCCATGCCTGTTTTGGTCTCGAATTCCTGTAGACTCTCATTATGTTTCTGACTACGAATCTTTAACTGGCTTTGTAATACCTGTTTAAAATTCTGCTGGTCATACCTTGTCTCCAAGTATTGAAAGAGAGATGAATAACTGAGTCATTTCAATAGAAATTATACATATAAATATTGTAGAAATATACAGGGACGTAATTATAAAACGGTTGCTGCCTATCCTTGCAGCCTATCAATGAAGCCGCTATCTCTTTTCCCGCCCAGCCATTGGCTGTAGCTGCAGCTTCAAATTTTAGGGCTTTAAAGAAGTCATGTTTGAATCTATAGATAATCTACAGATAAACATTTTATAAATTATTTATTTAGATATTGCCTACTTATGATTAATCCTAATTCTAGCATACACGGATCAAATAGACATAAGCCTTCGAACTAGTTTTCCAGAATTGGTAAAAGTAAAAAATAAATATCTTCGACGCCTTTTACGTGACGGCGCTGTCGTGCGCCGCATGACCTGCACATATAGTTGCAGCGTCCTTGCCTGCATATAGATTTCTAATATTTCCTTCTCTAAGGTCCTAAATATTTTCTTTTTAAATTCTTTCTTTGAGTAATACTTCTAGATAATTACTAAACAACTCCAAATCACCTTGGTTGAAACTATTTCAAATACGAGTATGTATTTGTTGATTTTTAGGCCGATTTAACTAAACAACAAAACGATTTTAAAATCATATTAAAATCGTTGGAGGATGACTTGTTATCAAGATTATCGTCAGCTGGAGGCAACCTTTTAGGAGACACTACCTTGGTTGAAAACTTGGAAACCACCAAAAGAACGGCAGCCGAAATTGAAGAAAAAGTTGCCGAAGCCAAAATAACTTCTGCCCAAATCGATGAAGCTAGAGAATATTACAGGCCAGCTGCAGCTAGAGCTAGCTTATTGTATTTTATTCTGAATGATTTGAACACCATAAACCCAATTTATCAATTTTCTTTGAAGGTAAGTTTATAATAGACTATTGATTCTATCCTTGAGAAAGTTCATAAGCACCAAGTGATATCCTTTGGACTTATTTATTTATTTAATTGGGATTTTGTATTTCAGGCTTTCAGTGTTGTTTTTCAAAAAGCGATTTCCAGGGCAGACCCCGCTGAAACGGTGGCCGCTAGAGTCAATAATTTAATATCTTGTATAACTTTCTCAGTTTTTCAATACACCACAAGAGGGCTCTTCGAATGCGATAAGTTGATTTTTGCTTCGCAAATGACCTTTCAGGTAAATGTTCACAATTGTTATACAGTGAGCACCATAAGTCTTACCCCCCCTATGTAACTCGCTACTGGAGTCTTGTTAGGAAAATCGCCGAGACACGTCGAATTTTGATTTCTACAATGTACATTTTTGTATAAATAGTTTACCCTTAATTTCATCCCTTACTAGAGGGGAGCAACCCTTTCGAAAAATTTAAATGGCATGGGGTGGTGAGTGATAGCTCATTTGAAAGAGGGTTTTATTCTCTATTCTGCCTTATAATAAAATTTGAAATTTGCTTCATTAATTCTCGACTAATTGTTGTTTCAGAATAACGGAAATTAACGTAGCGCACTCATCCTTAGAATTAAAATTTGGCCCTGTATGATTTCGGTTTTGATTCAGACGTGAAGTAAAACTTTTTGCCATTAGAAGGTCACTGTTAGTCTAGTTGCTTTCCTATTTTGTGAGGTTTTGTTATTTTAAAACATTAATAAATCAACACGTAATGAAGCAAATTTAAAATTTTTTTGCACGGTTGAATAGAGAATAAAACCCCCTTTCAAATGAGCCATCACTCACCACCCCATGCCATTTAAATTTTTCAAAAGGGTTGCTACCCTCCAGTAAGGGATGAAATTAAGGGTAAACTAATTATACAAAAATGTACATTGTAGAAATCAAAAATCGACCTGTCTCGGCGATTTTCCTAACAATACCCCAGTAACGAGTTAGGGGGGGTAAGACTTATGATGCTCACTGTATTTTAAAAAATTAAAATGAAAGAAATAATTGCATTGAAATGTCTATGTGAAAGAAAATATTTTATGAAAAATCCAATCGGTGTAACTTACTAAAAAATAGTGATATTTTAACGTTTGTTTATTTAATACCGTTTATTTATTTTAATGTACTAAGACAATAATCATTTCTTTCATAACTTAATTTATTTGTAATAAATATAGCACTAATTTATATATCTTCTAATATTATACTAATTTATATTGACAATATTAGACATTCTCAAATATTTTAGACGTCCTTCCACTAAGAATCGACATCTCCACCAGGTCTAGATATCACTATACTGGACGGTTTCTTCGACTGACGATTAAAAAATATAGGCGTATCACGGGGAGTTTCGAAGGGTGACTTATTTTATCAAATATTCTTGGTAACAGCAAAATGGAGGATGTAAAAGGCCCAAATAAGGAAGAGAGGGACTTAAGGGATCAGATGATAACCGGACTAATTGAAAATGGCTCAAATGACAATATATCCATTTTATTAAAATCATCCACTACTACAGTAGAACCCCGATTATCCGGGCGGCGGATTTTCCGTGCGGCATTTTATTAATAATACTCTCCCTAATTCACCCCCTTACAAGTAAATTTAACCCCCTGAAGTTGACTGAACGACTTGTGTAGGAGAAGGGACGGCTAATATTATTATTATTATTTGCCGTGACGCTCCGGGGCGACTTAAAGATGATTGATGGTGCCATTTGACTTACAGGTAAGGAAAACCCATAAATCCTCATCCACCATCATCGAGACAGTGATGCATGGCGATTTTATAATCTGCATGTCATATCAACAGAAATTGAATTTCTATTAATACGGCTCACATTAAATCCTATACCGAACCATGCAATTTAATTAAAAATCCACATGGTCAGGTGTAGGATCCGAAGCCCCTCTGTATCTGACCACAAACTTGCCTATAAATGAATATAAGCGCTACACCACCGACCCGATAAATTGATAAATTGAACATTCGCGTGCAGATTATTCGTGGTTGACGGCCACAGGGGAATTCCTAAATTCAGTTCGGGAAATCCCGCATTTATGTTTTTATTTATTATTTTCCACAACTACCGACCGACTCGTTAGTTAAACGCACAAAATTCAGTGTACCGGTGCAAACGAAAAACGTAAACGTAATTTTTTAACCATTCAACAAAAAATGAACATTTTAAAACAATTTGAAAATAACATAAGTGTTGCTGTGTTGGCTAAAGCACACAACATTAGAAAACAAACGGTTCGTGACATTGTGAAATAAAAAAGCCAAACTACAGAGCTTTGTAGCTAAAGCTGAAAATGCAAAAGCTATTTCTGAAAGGATCTACTTTTCCAAAGCTTGATGATGCTATGACCACGTGGTTTTGCAGAAAAAATTTTGAAGGGGTTCCACTATCAGGGCCTATGTGTGCTAGGTAAACCCAAAAGTTTCACGAACAGTTCAAAATCCAAGGAAACTTCTCGGCATCTTCTAGTTGGATATATAAATTTAAAAAACATCATGGAATACGAGAATTAGCTGTTCAAGAGGAGAAATTAAGTGCCAATGATGTAGCTATGGTAAAATTTTGCTATGATTTAACAAATCTTATAAAGTAGCACGACCTAAAACCTGAGCAAGTGTATAATGGAGCCGAAACTGAACTTTATTGGAAAGCAATGCCGAAAACCACACTCAGAAACTAGTGCACCTGGTTAGCTTACATATTTTTACGTATGTATACAGTATTTTTTTTTTTTTAGTTTCAAAGTAAGAAAATACCGTATAACAGTGCTAAGCTGTCCTATTGCATCAGGAACCCATAGGTTTAGGTTAGCCGTCATTGGAAAATCCAAAAATCCGATGGCTTTTAAAAATGTAAAATCACTGCCCGTTGATTACTATAATCAAAAGGCAGCTTGGATGGATCAAGTAATTTTTAAAAAGTGGTTTTTCGAAAAATTTATAACACAAGTTAGAGCTTATCTGCAAGAGAATAATCTTCCACCCAAGGTTGTACTGTTACTGTTACTGGATAATGTGCCATCGCATCCTGATGTAGAGCAACTAAAGTTAGCAGATGGGAACATATTGCCCAGCCAATGGACCAAGATGATATAGAGACTATAAAGAGGCTTTATAAAAAAGACCTTATGCTTCAACTGTTGAGAGGATGTGACTTTATGGGATTTTGGAAACGTCTAAATTTGAAAGAAGCAATTTATGCTGTAGCTCGCGCTTGGAGTGAAGTGAGAGCGACTAACATAAAAAACCTTTTACAAAATAATGACCTTAGAAAATATCTTAGATGGAGAAGGTACTGAAGACGATAATCACTTGAATGAAGGTGAGTTAGTGATCGGAAACATAGCGCCTAGAGTCTCGAATATCAAAGGTTTGGAAGAAATTGACAACAAAAAATACAGGAATGGATAGAATGTGATCACAGAGAAAAAGCATATCAGATTGTGGATGATGATTATTTAATTAACCAGACCTCTGCAGAAAGTTCTGACAAAAGTAGTGATGACGATGAGAATAATTGCGTCATCAAAACAAGTCATCTCGAGATGCAGGAGATGCAGTGAATGTACTTATCCAATATTTCAAACAACATCCTAGAACTGATGACATTCAAGTGCTTCAGCGTAGAAAAATGAAGGAAATTAAAGTATAGAAATTACGAAGCCCAAAAACAAACAAAATTAGTGATTTTTTAAGTGATTTAGTATTATGTTTCTTTTCTTTGCCTGACACATGTATTTGTCTGAATAAATTATATAAAAAATAAAACTTTGGATTATCCGTGTTTTATATTATCTGGCAAAGGCTCGATCCCGGCTGACCCGGATAATCGAGGTTCTACTGTACATTTCAAATTAGTGTTGTACTTATTATAACAGAAACTATAGGTCATAGAAATTCAGGATTTTCAGTTACCTTTCTATGTGGCGTACTCTTTGATCTATCTTAAGGTGTGATCACATTGTTGATGGGTACTTCGAACAAGGAAAGTTCATTTTAATACTAACTCTGAGTTAATTCATGGTATATCTAGAGTAATAATAATAATAATAATAATAATAATAATAATAATAATAATAATAATAATAATAATAATAATAATAATAATAATAATAATAATAATACTCTCCCTAATTCACCCCCTTACAAGTAAATTTTAACCCCAAAAGCTGAGCTTGTCCGGGGAAAGGGACGGCTATTATTATTATTTGCCGTGGCGTGAGTAGTACTTGTTGAAAATCCCCGTGAGCTTAGTTTTAACAAATACACTGCTACTTTTGTTTAGACCTTATTTAGGTTAGGGATCTGTAGCAAAGTCCATGTCCTGTGCCTTGTTTTGTTTTAGAACTGTCGGTGTAACCTCCGGTATATTTTTCTTTATAACTTTCCAGAGCTTGTGATAATGTAAAGATATTTTTCTGTTGTAGATTCTTTTAATGAACGAAGAAATCTTATCTACAGACCTAGACTTCCTGCTGAGGTTCCCCATAAAACCGCACGTGACGAGCCCCGTAGATTTCCTTTCGAATTCTAGTTGGGGAGGAATATGCAGTTTAGCTACGAAAGACGAATTTAGAAATTTGGACAGAGACATTGAAAATTCGCCGAAACGGTGGAAAAAGTTGGTCGAATGCGAAAGTCCGGAAAGAGAGAAGTTTCCGCAGGAATGGAAGAGTAAAACGGCTTTGCAAAGATTGTGCATGATGAGAGCTCTGAGACCAGATAGGATGATATACGCAATGATGTATGTCAAACTTTTTATATACATTACTTTGTTAATATTTCTTGTATATCCTTTCCTGCATATTGGTGTTTCTTAGTCCTGTGATTTAGATTATATTTATTTTTCAGGGCTTTTATTGAAGAAAAACTGGGTGCAAAATACGTGGAAAACAAAACCGTAGAGTTTGACAAATCATTCGAGGAAACTAGTCCATCGACACCCATATTTTTCATTTTATCTCCTGGTGTAAATCCACTGAAAGATGTCGAAAACCTTGGAGAAAAATTGGGATTTACAGCGGAAAAACACAATTTTCATAACGTCAGTTTAGGTGAGAATTTTCTGTAATTTTCGTTGTTACTTCTCAAAATGATATGTCACCCTCTGTATGGAAATTTAATGTTGTTTAATTTTAGGATAAAAAATTGAATTCATCAATTATTGGATTATTATTATTATTATTATTATCATAATCATCTTAATCTTTAGTATTATAAAATGTACTTAACTAGTAACTAGACATTCCAACTTTAAACTATTATGACGGTAAAGCTTACTGAAGAATACGCTGTATCGGTAAGGGGAGCTTCATTGGCTATCGACAGTCACAAAGCAACAATGATCCTTTAGCTCTCTGTCTCAGAGTGCATAATTTTAATTATTTAGTTATGAGTTAACATTTTAAAACTATTAATAAGGAGGTATTTATACGAGCATAATGAAAAAGTACAAAATATTTTAATAACATGACAAAACTCTTATGAATAATATCCTAACAACGTGACGTCAAAACATGTGAACAAACGAGGTTCAGGGTGCAGTTAATTTTTTGTCTTTAGCTAGACTATCACAAAATTGTCATTTGTTTAAATTCACTCATTTCTTGTCCGATATTTTGGATCTCCCTGTAGATATCAAAGATTTCTTGGCACGATTTTAATAAGCACAAAACTGCGCAACTTTTGTTAACCATAAAATACTTATTAAAACTAAAATGGGCAAGTCCCAGATCAGAGTACAGATCATTAAGTTTTCTGGAATCAATACCAATAATTATTAATATTTGTTTTTGTTATTAGGTCAAGGTCAAGAAGTTATAGCCGAAAATGCTATGGAGGTTGGAGCCAAAAACGGGCATTGGGTAGTCTTGCAAAACATTCATTTAGTTAAAAAATGGCTGCCGGCATTAGAGAAGAAGCTCGAACAATATTCTGAAGGCTCTCATCCCAATTACAGAGTGTTTATGAGCGCCGAACCGGCTGCTAGTGCAAGCGCTCATATTATACCACAGGTTTGAATTTTTTTTAGAACTTTTGGAAATGCTAATAATAAAAAACTGATTAAACTATCGGGTAATATAATAATATCACCTGTGCAACGGTGCATGCTCAAAAGGAGACATGATATTTTTTCAGTTTAACATATTATATGTATTGCCTATTAATTTCTACCTTTTTCAACACATTTGGATTTGTCAACTACTTACAGAATTATGCTGTAACGTTACAGGTAAAAAATCTTACAAAAATGTTAAATTACCCAAAATATTTACTTCTCTCATACATTTATCTAGAATTTATTAGTCATCTTCCAACGAAAATCTCTTATTCCATTTCCATTTTTAAATAAAATCCAAATAAATTTTGTAAAAGGAACAAAAATAGAAAGTTCCAAGAATAATAACAAAATGTTGACTTATTTTTGACGTTAGAATACTCTCGATTAGAATTACTCTCAGATTAAGAATGATTTTTATTACGGTGCATAGCTAAAAATTACACTGAACGCGATTAAACCCTTGATCTGGATTAAACGTGATTAAGAGATTATTTCGATTAATCGAATATTTCGATTACTCGATTCTTTCCGATTAATTGATTTTTTCGATAAATCGATTTATTGATTATTTTTGATTAACTGATTATTTTTGATTAAGTGATTAAACTAAAATATTAGTTTTTTTTTAAATAATCCGTAATCGATTATTTATTTTGATAATCGCCCAGCCCTAATTAGGAGTCCTTTGGGGTCTATCTATCTAAATTAAATTGTGCCTTAAAATCTACTTATACTGAAGCTCTAGACTTATTGTATTTCTAATGTGAATAGAAGTTTTGTCTTCCTCTCCATACTTTCTACATAGGGAATCTTAAGAGATTTAGGTGTCTTCTAAGGCCGTAGAATCCCATAAAAAGTCCTATTACGGCCTTTAATATTTCCTGCTGCGGTTTAACAGTCGATTTTTTAAGCTCTTGTATAGTCCTTCTATAAATATTCTGGACTGCATGAGTCCAGGAAGTTCCAACAAGAGCTTATGTACCTGTCTCACCAGAACCGCTTTAACATACTGATATGAAATACTATATGTGTATTCTGGTCCACTTGATCACTTGATAGAAAGTCTGCTTTCTAGTTTCCCAACACTGTCTCATGTCTTGGCATCTATTCAAGAGTGACCTTATTAATGTTCTGCCAGGGCTTGAAGAGACTGTTGGCAGTCCAATATTATTTTAGATTGTAGTAATTTAAGGGCTACCTGGCTGTTAATAAAAACTCTTTGTGTATGATCTAAGCACATGCGTTTATACCTCAGGGTACTCATCTGGATTCACTTTTTTCAATGATGATGAATTAGATGAAAAGTATCTCTAATCTACTGGTGATAATACATTATTTTGTATCGAAATTCAAAATTTTCCCCAATTTTCTCCATTAGTTATCAAAATAAATAGATATATTTTCCAGGGAATACTAGAATCGTCCATCAAAATAACAAACGAGCCGCCTACCGGCATGCAAGCCAACCTACACAAGGCGCTGACCAACTTTAATCAAGAAACTCTAGAGCAATGCGGCAAAGAGGCGGAATTCAAAGTCATCCTTTTCTCGCTCTGCTATTTCCACGCCGTGGTGGCGGAACGAAGAAAATTCGGACCGCAGGGATGGAACAAAATATATCCGTTTAATGTTGGCGATCTGACCATAAGCGTGTTTGTGCTCTTTAACTATTTGGAAGCAAATTCCAAAGTACCTTGGGAGGATCTGAGGTATCTGTTTGGAGAAATAATGTATGGGGGACATATTACCGATGATTGGGATAGGAGACTATGCATTACGTATTTGGAAGAACTCATGCAACCTGATTTGGTCAGTTAAACAAAATTAATCTCTTTACTAGCTTGTGAATACGAGTTACTTGTGCAGGTTGATGGAGAATTGCAGCTGGCTCCTGGTTTCGCCGCTCCTCCAAATACAGACTACGCTGGTTACCATCAGTACATCGACGATGTGATGCCTCCTGAATCACCGTACTTGTATGGTCTTCATCCTAATGCGGAAATTGGGTTTCTAACAACAACAGCTGAAAACTTGTTTAAAACTGTTTTTGAAATGCAACCGAGAGACGGAGGTGCTACAGGTGGGGCTACAATTACAAGAGAAGATAAGGTGAGTCAATGCGGAGTGTAGGGGCATTTAAACCTTTGAACTAGAGACATCGTAACACAATTATGTACTAGCTCGCATCAAATCTTTTTGAACGGCTAAAGTAGCCATGGGATTGTCCTTTATTCCTGTTTAAAATTACATTATGATTAAGCTGTTTCTATATCGTAGGTAAAGCAAATGGTGGACGAAATGCTAGAGAAACTGCCCGAAGACTTCAACATGACCGACATAATGGGCAAAGTGGAAGAACGTACACCGTACGTTATCGTAGCTTTCCAAGAATGCGAGCGCATGAATTATCTTACAACGGAAATCAAAAGATCGTTGAAAGAATTAGAATTGGGCATCAAAGGAGAACTAACGATTACTTCGGACATGGAGGATTTGGAAAACGCGTTGTTCCTTGATCAAGTACCACCAGTGTGGGCTCTAAGGGCATATCCATCCTTGCTGGGCTTAAGCTCGTGGTTCGTAGATTTGTTGCTGAGAATCAGGGAACTTGAAACGTGGTCCACGGATTTTGTGGTAAATTGAACATTTTATTCATTATTATTTGTGTGAATGATATTATTGCATTTACTTTCGCTAGTGTGTGTGTGTGTTTTTTTGTATAATGATTTTAGCTAGTGTCTCCCATTTTCCACCAATATATTTGATTGTCATGTTTTCGTACCTATTTATATTTTTTATATATTTTTTTTCTTACCACTTTTTCTGTATTTTATTTCAATTCTTGTATCTGATATATACCCATCGATAATATTTATAGTTCTGTGGTACAGTTTGAACATTTTCAATATTTTTTTTTTTTGGATAAATGTTCTAAACTATCTTCTTCCATTATTAGCAAGATAGTTACCACTACCTGGAGGTTAAATGGCTCTAAGGAGCATACCAATTTATTCACACCAATTTTTTTATACAACTTCCATAGATAATAGACATATAAATATTGGTTCAATTAGAAAAACTCAATAGAGGAAGAATAAATAAACAGCTGAATCGTTGTTACTTTTTCCAGCGCCACCTTAGAAAAAACATTAAATGATCGAATTAGGAATAAAACCATTAAAATGATCTGAAGTGCGTTGTGATTTTCTTTTCAATTTCTTCTTATAAATAAATAGTTTTTAGAATTGACATAATTAACAATATTTTATTTATAGCTACCGGCGTCAGTTTGGCTTGGAGGTTTTTTTAATCCTCAATCTCTTCTTACTGCAATAATGCAAAGCACAGCAAGAAGAAATGAATTACCATTGGACAAGATGTGTCTTCAGTGTGACGTTACCAAAAAGCAAAAAGAAGAATTTACGTAAGTGACTGGCTTTGAATTCTTAAAACATATTTATACACTATATACTGAAGAGACACGCCATTATTCAAATCAGAAAAAATTTACTATGAAGAGAAATATAAAGAAATAGAAAAGCAATTCCTATCAATGCCGGGATTTCTCTAATTTTTGAGTGATAGTGTATATGAAAAAAAAAATTATTTCTTCAATGATGAAATTCAGCACCCTATTAAAATAAATAATGATATTTATGAAACACCCTGTATATTGATTTGAACAAGTAGAAAAATGTATTCTTTGCGAAGAAATATTTTTTGGTTGTTTTTAATAACTTAGCAGCATTGCAATTATAGTAGATTAAATTAGATTTGAATTTGTACTCGTTCACTGCGAACTTTTCAGATTTATTGTGGGACTGCGTTATTTAGAGTATTTATGCTAGGTTGATCTTTTTAATTGGACACGATTTTGAATTTTCTTTAACTAGAGGTAGAAACCTAGAAACCTCAATCTTGCCCAGACACTCACACCGGCACACTTCACAGAAACTGCGCAATGTTGCTTTTTCTTTTGTATGGATTACATTCATGTGCCTACTTGTCATATTTGATGACGGTTCCATAATGAACTCTTTGGCCTGTCTTGATCTTTGATAATTGTTCCACCATTCCTTAGACTCTTTTTGTAACCATTATCTGATGGATACCTTAGCGACTCCACAGAAGGGTTCGACGCCTATCATGGCCTTATCTGAGTATTCTTGGGCTCGTTTCTCGGCATTTTCATTGCTCTGATATCCTTGGTGGCATGGTACCCAGGCTGTCACTTTGTTTTGACTATTTTCTCTGCCAGGTCTTTTAGGCAGTAGACGTCTTCTAATATTCATCGATGCCATCTAGCAATCATAAAAACTGTTCTTTTATTCATCAAAAATTTTAGATGAGTCATACATCAAATTCATAAATTCAACCTAATTCTCAGATAGTTGTCACCAAATACATCGACTCGATTATGTTGATGTACTGACGGATCACGTGACATAACCTTAAATTATTAATTATTATCAAACAGAAAAGACAATAGGAAACTCCCTGCGTTTTATTAAACCAACCTTTAAGTGGGCTAACTTTTAAAATAAAATTGTCAGCGTTAGATATACAGCAAGCAAATGAAGGCAAGTACATATTTTTTGAATTATTGTATTACCCATACTTGTCTTTAGTTTTTATGCTCATCAAAAAGTGTTCGAATTGTTTGTTTTCATTAAATAAAGACAGGTTGACAATTAAGATTACAAAATTACAAATGTCATTCGTTCTTAAATAATTTTAATCAGATAAGAATCAGGATTGCAGCAGTCGGCCATTTATTGGTCACGTGATCCATCATCAGTACATATTATTCAATATTAGAAAACGCCCAGTCTTTCACCAGTCGTAATTCGATTTCTGGTGAGATAATAGAGAGTTGCAATAACTCTCTATTGCAAGTTCGCTTAAGGTCAGTCACTATTAGTGCCGCTCTTATTTTGAAATCTAAGCATGCGCAGATCGTTTATGTTCTAAAACTGACTTCATTAAACATTGTGCCTGTTCCTAATAGTGTATGTTTAAGGGCAGCAGGTAGTGGCAACTTTATAGCTTTCGGATGGGCTCGCCGACATTCGTATCCGTTCGAAGTTTTTTTAATATTAAATATTTAATATAACCGTCATCTAAACCTTCTAAAATTAATATTTCTATTGCCTCTTTAATATTATGTACTATTATAGACAACAAAAAAGATGAACTAAAATTTAAAGTTATTAAAATGGGGTTAGAAATAAGTATAAGGACAAGGATTCTAATGTCAAAATTTCAGGTTTGCAATAAGTCTGATTTATGAAGACTCATAGTCTGATTTTAGCATGGAATTTATTTGACTCTAATTACGATGTCACTATTAGTGGCTGGCGTTATAGAAATTTGCAATACCTCTCTAATTGCCTTTAGAGTTGCTTGGTTATCGGAGCAGATGGCAATAGGTTTGTCTGAAACTTGTTGATTTATTTTGACATTACAGTAAACGTTCTTGAACGTATTTTCTTGGTGGTTTGACGTTTAAATATAGATTATATAACGGCTTCTCGTTTTCTTACCCATGGCCTTCTTTACCTAACCTTAGATAAAGACGGCCATGTCTTACCTTAAACACGGTCTTTTTTTCTTGTTTTAGGAGTGCTCCACGAGATGGCGCCTACATCCACGGTCTACACATGGAAGGAGCTCGTTGGGACATTCAAACGGGCGTTATCATGGATTCCCGTTTAAAAGAACTTTTTCCCGCGATGCCCGTGATCAACGTGAGAGCCATTACTCAAGATAAACAAGACCTTAGAAACATGTACGAATGTCCGGTTTATAAAACAAGAACCAGAGGACCGACTTACGTGTGGACCTTTAATTTGAAAATTAAAGACAAACCAGCTAAATGGACTTTAGCTGGAGTAGCTCTTTTATTACAAATATAGTTTCCGTTACTTAAATTCCCATTATTGCATTTTATTCATTTTTGTTAGATCTATTATATGTAGTTTATTTTTTAAATAAATAAGAATTAAATCAACCACTGATCGATTTTTATTTAAGAATTAAAACTCTCATATAAACATGACTAAAATTACTAATTTTACCAACTGATCATTTAAAATAAATTTATTGTACCTATATAGATGTAAAAATAACATCAAACTGATTATTCAAATTCCTTACATTGTTGAAAAATATTAGGATTCATTTTTGAAGGTAAATACTAGTCCTGGAAGTTACATATAAACTGTTATCGTTACGATCTATAGAATTTTTATAAGATCAAAACTAGACTATAGTAGTTTCATTTACATGTCTGCCTCCAAATGCCACTTAAGATTCTTAAATACAGTTCAAAACACTGCCTTACGACCGTACCTCAGAATTTTTAGAATAAGTTTCTTCTTCTTTCTTACGCTGCTGGTATCTCTGCCAACCTTACAAACATTGTTTAATCAATTTTCGTTTCAGACAATAACACCTGACCCAGTATTATTTCGCCTAGGAATGTCCTTCCAATTCCTCAGATTGAAAACCTCCTCTTACTACTATTAACATTAAAATACAATAATTATTTAAATTAACAGGTGTTCAAAATGACCTTCCCCTTCCTGTATATACAATATACATAATACACATTCTACATCATTTAACAATGAAAAACTTTAAAAATTTAATTACAAATGGAATAATATACGGCACTACAACGTTTTTTTTTTTGCAAAAAACGAAGGTTCGCAAGTATTTTTCATTTAAATTTTTATTGTAAATTAGAAACTACCACGGTTAAAACTTCTGATCCCTTATGTACTCTGTTTTAAATAAAATTTTTTCAAAGTCAAAATACATATTTTCCCTTTGTAAAAACGAGTAGGTTTTTTTTTAATTATTCCCACCTAATTGTTTGTTATTATTGCCAGTCTTGACATGAAGTTATTTTGGACAAAAGTTTCTTGTGAAAGTTCGAAATGGTAGACCCAATTAATTTCCCAAGAATAGGTAAAAATGAATTAACCTTTATTATCACATTATACAAAAAATAACAAACAGAAACACATTCATAATTTTTAAAGCATTATTATTCATTCTGATTTCGAGATGGCTTCAGAGTTAACAAATCAGGATCAATAGAAATATCATCATCTGCTGAAGAAATCAAAGTCAAATTCTCTTCCATCCTGTCTTCTAGCTCATCCCCGAGAAGAATGTTTTCTTCCATTATATTTGATTGAATCGAGTTTGTTATTCGATCTAAAATTAAACAACAAACAAGTAGGTAAGTACGCATATTATTGAGATCAATATTAATATTATTAATAAAATATAGATAGCGAAGTGGCCCAAGAGAGTTGCATTGAGGAATACCAGAAGGTGTTCTAATTTGAACGATCAACTTTCAATGCAACTCTTTTTGTCTAGTAACTAGTGGACTACAGAATGATGGGTTTAGAAAAGTCTAATGAATTGCTTTTAAGAGTAAACCAACACGTGGAAAATTTATAAATCTTTCTGAGCCTTTATTTGTAGTCCGATTTTTCTGAAATTTTCAGAAAATACCAATAATAACAAAAAAATTTTGTAATTCCTAAAGGTACGTGCCATAAGATATCTTTTTTTATATATTTTATATGTTTGTTTTTGCTTTATAACCATTGCTGGTTTTTATAATTTATCCTCAATTTAATATCTATAATATTGAAATATTAAAATCAATGTAGGCGTTTCAATATATTAATTTTTCATTTTGCGTTACATCTGCGCAAAATTATTCATAGGTATTGGGAGTTTTCCACATATTGTAACTAACTTATTTAATTAGTCAATTATAACGTACTCTTATGTACCTTCATTTAAATATGATAGTAAAATTTGTTGGATTCAGACTAATTTAATTGCTGGTTCTGTAAGCTTAACCATTTAGGTTTAGTATCGAATGGTGCGCACAATTCCCCACTTTCCCCTAATCTACCATAATCTTTTTTATTGAATTTTACCTGCGATCAACATTGTTTCATTTAACTGATTCTCCATTGAACAATTTTGTTCACTCGTTGTTGGTTGATCGATATTTGTCGACAAGTTTAATGAATTTGAAAACGATAATGGCCATTCAAGTCCCAAAAACACGTTTGTTGTATTGTTTTGTTCATTATTGGTGAAATTAAGTAGTGGGCTTTCTAAAGGCGTAGGACATGCTGAAAAATAATATGATACCTTTTATTAAAAGTTCTAAAATTTGTTATATTTCGTTGTTATCATTATTAGGTAATATTTACCTGGAAGGTTTATGGGAATATTAATAGCTGAATTTTGCATCTCTTGGTTTTTGTTCAAGCTTTTTTCTTGTTTTCTCCACTTCGCTCTCCTATTTTGGAACCAAACTTGAACTCTAGCTTCGGTTAGATCAATTCTCAGAGCAAGCTCTTCACGGAAGAATACATCTGGATAGTGGGTTTTATGAAAAGCTCGCTCCAATTCTTCTAGTTGATAATTCGTAAAGGTTGTCCTAAAGCATTGGATTAATATTATATAATGAAAATATTGTTTCCTTATTTTTTTTTATTTTAATTTTACACTGTACCCGTTACACCCGAAAATTCTACCACTGTTTGGCCTGCATGAAATCCAGACCTTATTCCTATCGAATAAAGGCAATACAACACTCAAGTTTTATTAATTGTTTAATATTTGTCAGAAATAGAAAAATGCACATACCTACTGATATACAGTAGGATAACCGACACATCAAGCAAAATTAAGATGAGATGTATATACACTAGTGGAAAAAATTAAGGGATAAAATTTTTTTTCGATTTTTTGCTATTTTTCGAGTGGCTGTATCTTTGGTAGAAATGGTCGTACGTGAATGAAAAAAAAGCAATTTGAAGCTTGAAGTGTCTAGTTTATGGATCTTGCGATAAAAAATTTTCAACCAGCAATTAGCACAAAATCCTGATGAATATCATGAATAGAAAAACGCGATCCTTCAATTTCTTCAAAAATTCAATCGCATGAAACAATGAAACGGCTTGATGGATCAGGTTAAAATTTTGTAGGGCCTTCGGGGAACAATGGTACACTCAACATTATTCATTTTTCCAATATTCTGAATATGGCACGTGATTTTCTAAAAAACCTCAAAAAGAGTCATACTAGGAATGAAAAAAATTTTTTTCTCGTTAAAGAACATGCGAGAACTTTGTAGAGAATGAATCGAAGTTTCCGAAACCCCTCTTCCATTTTCTGAGCGGCCATTGGTTCCTGATATATTGACGAGAGAAGAGAAAATGACGCATTTTCGTTCGTTTTTTGATAACTCAGCAAGGAAGAGTCATCTCGAGGCCATCAAAAAAAGGAATTGAAGCTAACTGAACCACCTATCCAATGCATATAGTGGTTATGTCAAGAAAATTTTTTTCAAGTCCGTACAATAAAAATTAAAAAAAAAAAAATTTAAAATTTTCTATCCATGATATTTATCAGGATTTTGGGCTAATGGTTGGAAAAAAATTTTACGCAAGATCCATAAAATAGACACTTCAATTGCTTTTTTTTTCATCCGCGTAGGACCATTTTTACCAAAGATACAGCCACTCGAAAAATCACAAAAATCGAGATTTTTTTTGATCCCTTTATTTTTTCCACTAGTGTATTTGGAAGTGACCGGCATAAAGAAAGTATTAACCACGCCCTTTGACACGACATTGTATAGCGCATAACGTATTACTCTATTCTTTCTATTTAATAGCACTGAATTTCTATTTCGTTCTCCTGGAGTTAGGATTGCAAAATTAACGTACTATATACGATATTTCATTAGGAAAGGTACATGCGTTAACTGCGTATGCAGGCGACTAAATAAGCCATACTTAATGGGTCTTTCGTCCTTTATTATCTACTGAGATAAATAGTGTTTTATCAATTTTGCTTATTCCTTTCTAGATTCAAATTAACACTCTATATATGTTTGTCTTTTGGCACGTACCTATATTATCGATAACTCACCAAATCTATGACTAACCACAGAGGAGGTAACTCTCACAAACATGTAAGTACCCCAAAACCAAAGTGTACTGACAACCAAAGATCGAGAACCCATGATAAAGGAGAAACACACCATTTTTTTAATGAAGCAGTCGATCTAAGAGCGTCAATGAGGCAAAAAGGTACATATCAGAAGAAAATTAACCAAATTTAGGCGATTTACCCCATCCCCGAACATCTAGCTTAAGCAGAAGCCGATTCAAGATTCTAAAATCTGAAGTAAATGAAAGTGTGGAGAAATTCTTGCCAAGGAAATCGCTGCAGCCAACTTTGCATACAGCGATGTCTACGATGACTTACCGGTTATACATATGACAGTAGATGAATCCCCATCACCGGATAGGACAACACGTTGACATTCGAAAGTACAGAGAACTCACCTATAAACGAAGTGACATTGGCCCACTAAACTTCGAAAGTGCGAAAAGAGTGCCGAGAATATAAAAACTATTAAAATAATCTATAAGGAAATACTACATCAGAAGACGAGAGAATAATTCAAGAATACGAGAGAAGGCAACAAGGGTTCATCAGAACATCGCCAAATAGCAATTTTCACAAACCTGTAGTGCCAAATGCAAACGCTTTAGACGTAGGCGAAGACAACCCTCAAACATGATCAGTCGTTTCAGAAGCCGAAAAAGTTTAGTTCAAATTTCCAGCAACTGATTAAGGAAAAATAGAAATATTCGCTTACACAGACTAACAACGGTACTCCATATTAACAGACGAGTCTGGCTCCGATATCGAAGATGAACTTGATAAAATAGTAAAAAAAGGAAAATCTAGCAACAATAGGGACATGGGAAACCAGAAACAAACAAAATACAACCAGAAAACAGTTAGACGACATATTGGCCGGAAAAAACAAACTTCTAAACCTGCGAACAATGCACCACAAGCAAAAAGAAATATCACAATGCCCCTGATTGTAGTAATTGGGAAAAATAATCATTAAAACTCCCGTAATACAGGATCTCATAACAAAAATAAAAGATGATTACCTATGATAACCTAAATGATAAAGTCTCCCATTTTAACAATCTGCTGATTAATATATTTGATACACTTGCTCCTGTAAAAGAAAGAAAATTTAAAAAACGTAATCCTCCGTGGCTCACAGATAATATAAAATTAATGATAAAATTAAGAGACAAGGCACTTGGCAAATTTAAAAAAACAAAAAATCCAGCTCATTATCAGTATTATAAGGAATTAAAAAACTATACTACCACGGCTATAAATCACTTTTTGCAGGGTTGAAATTTTTTTTGCATATCAACCCTTGCGCCGTCATAAAAAAATGCTTGCAATACCATCTTAGATTCAGAAAAAACGCGTTTAAGCTATATCCCGAATTTCGTTGTAAAACACAAATATCCGGTCACGTGGCAGAAATCCCTACATCGGTAGTAGCAAAATCAGACGAAAGAAAATCCTTGCAAAGGAATTTTTTGTTTTATTACCAGCAAAAAACGAAAAAATCCATCAATAAGCAACTATATTTTGAATTTGACAGGTTACACGACAGCTTCCACCACCAGGGCATAGTACATGTTGTTAATTCCCTCCCTACCCAACTACTATTAGCAAGTAAAAAAAACACGACTTACCACTGTTTGTAGTCAGATGAGGGACTATAAAATATGTACTTAATCTTAATTGTATCTAAAACAATGACACAAATATCATTATTTTTCATTATGGACTCCTAAAATGCTTAAAAAATGACAATTTGGTTTAAAATTCACTGGATTTGGTTTTTTGTGCTCTGTTCAAAGATAAAAAAAATCATTTATACATACAAGGTGTTGTTTTAGGAATGGACGAATTATTTATTCATATTTGTATAGTTGATGCTGGATTTCGCTTCTTGTTTATACCTTAGTAGATTCGATAAGTTATTAATAATATATGTGTCAATTAACAAAAAAAAAACATATAGCAGGGGTTGATAAGTAACGAGGCAAAAATAAGTAGTTGAATAAAAGACTCTAGATATTACAAAGGCCGAAGTATATCAGTAGCCACAGTTAACATAATAGTCCTTTTCCCAATAAAACACTCTGCATAATGCCTAAAAATTAAACTTTTTTTACCTGTATCTTCTTTGTTTTCTTTTAGAACAAGAAATTCCAGATAAACTAGTGTCATCTTCGTTTGAATTATAATTTTGCAGAGAATCGGTGTAATCTAAAAATCATTTAAATTTCTTTAAACAGTTGAATAGAGTATTTAAGATAAAATTTTAAAAATCATTCATGATTACTATTATTTTCAATAATTTCAAGCCAACCTTTTTATTATTGTTTTTATGAACACAGATTAGGTATTCTTGTAGATACTTACAGAATTCTAATAAAAGTAACAAAATAAATAAAAAATAAATAAAAAATAAATAAATTTATTGAAGAAAATGTAAAATAAAGAAATTAACTAATAAAAAGAGATATACTATATTTATTATTTTGAAAAAACTAAAAAGCGTGACAGATTCTGACTAGTGGCTACACATACTTTGATTACTATACGGTGCAAGATAGAGGCCCGACACAGGGCGCGGCCATTTTGGCCATTTTGATGCCTTTACCACAGTTTATAGCTTAAGAATCAGTTCGCTCACTCTGCGTCGGCACTTTTGATCTTAATGTTCCAGTTTATACACTGCGCAACTCGGATAATACAATATATGACAACCGCCTATAATAAAACAGCAGTCTTCTGCGCATCCTGAATTTGTATCCCTGGAATGGATGTTATTTTGGAACTTTCAACTGGTCCGAGTGAGCTAACTGATTCTTTAGCAATAAACTGTGAATCCAAAAATAATATTTACTGACACTGACAGCAGCAAGCAAAATATCAGGTGCGTTTTAATCTCCTTTTAAAAGGCACTCAGAAAGCTGCGCAGTGCGACCATTCTCCGTATAGTAAAAGAAAATAAAAGTATGTGGGCGCAATATTTTTAACAGATGCGTTTTAATCATCCGCTTCTGCTTCGGAATTGTCGGTTTTCTTGTTTTAATCTGACAGGTTGAAACAACTAAACCGACAATTCCGGAAGCAGAAGCGGATGATTAAAACGCACCTGATATTTTGCTTGCTGCTGTCAGTGTCAGTGAATATTATTTTTAGTCACAGTTTTAGTCATTTTTATGTAATACAGATACTAACTGGGCTATGAGTGGTGGCGAGTATGATTTCTTCGTTCTATCGTGAAGTTAGATGCGCGCTAATGGCCATTTGAGTGGGCGTTGGTTTGCTGAGTGTGGTTTTATTTTCAGTCGAACACGTGCATTTGTTATTGCCTTTTTTATTACAAAATGAGGTGTTGCTGAGTCTTTTGTGTGTAGAAGTTGTTTTCAACTATCAGTTTTGTTACAATAAAACATGAATTCCACTGAGAAAGCAAGGTAAAAATTAATTTATTAGTTTATTGGTATAAGTTTTAGAGGTTATGTATTTTTTAGTGGGTCGAAAAAAAGAAACTCAAAGCGTCCGTTGACTCTATCTGAATTAGAAGAGTCACAAAATATGTCGAACTGGTCGAATTTGTCCGAAAATGCCGAAGATCAAGCTTTTTCAAGTGATGATTTTGTCGCTGACAGGACCAATAATCACAGAGCGATACAGATGACAATGTGATTAGTATTTCAAACTCTTCACAAACGAAATTATCTCGTACCTTAGACATTTCTGATAATGAGTGGACTGACACAGAAGAAGATCCCATAACGTTTCCTTTCACGCCAAAGGAGTCTATAAGTATAGACATTCCGGAAAATGCTTCGGCCTTACAATGTTTCCAGCTGTTTTTTGATGACACCATCATTGAGATAATTGTCCGTGAAACAAACAGACGAGCCAGAGAATTTTTTGACAGCCAGTATCTACCCGAAAAAAAAAAACGATTACAATGGCAGGATACATGTGTTGAAGAAATGAAAAGGTTCCTAGGCGTATGCTGCTTTAGTGGTAATATCCGCTTTCCCACTTTGGGAAAACAGTGGAGTAAGCATTCGTTGTATTTTCATTCCGTTTTCAGGCAAACCATGTCTTAGAATAGATTTTCGGACATTCTGAGAATGCTGAGGTTTGTTGATCATTCTACTGCTAATACTGCAGATCGTCTCTTCAAAATACGACCAATTTCGGAAAAAGTACTTTCAAATATAAAATCCATTTACACTCCAGGGCAACTTTTATACTAGTGTCCCACTTGCCGAATTTTTGCTCTCGCAAAATACTGGAATGGTTGTTAATTTGAGAGTTAACAAAAAAATTATCAACAAGAAGCTAAAAATAGGGGAAGCTATCTGGAAACGCAAAGGAAAAACTGTTGTAACTAAAAGGAAAGATAAGAGGGACGTTAGAATGATAACCACTTGTCACAAACATCAGATGGTTAAAATTACAACAAGAAGAGGCCACGAAAAACTAAAACCACAGTGTGTTTTATATTTTAATGCCCATATGTCGGAAGTTGACAGAGCCGACCAGATGTTGTCATATTATTCCAGTGCAAGAAAGACAATAAAATGGCATCGAAAAATATTTTTTCATTTGGTGGATATCTGTATTTGAAATGCCTGTTTCCTCTACAAAAAGAAACACCAAACAAAAAAAAAACACTTTTCGAGTTTCGAAAAGAAGTTTTGAACGAACTTCTCAAACCAAAACAATTTTCGAAGCCACAAGCCACAGATTTCCAGTCTCACCACTATCCGGCTGATAATGTTGGAGAAAAAGATTACTATGAAAAGATGCAAATGGTGCTCGAAAAGAAATGGAAGAAAAAGGTCAAAGTATTATTGCCCACAATGTGAAGATCAACCTGGATTATGTGTTACGCCATGTTTTGCAGAATGGCATCCTGATTTGTCTCAGAAGTAATATTTTTTATTTTGTAGAACTCAAGTTTACTTCAATAAATAATAAATAAATCAATTTTATTTAATTTCCTTGAGACCACTATAATGGCCGTCGATCTGTCAAAGTGTCTATGACTACTCATTGACCAGCGGCCAGTTTAGTGGCTCTAAAACAAAATGGCGGAATCTTGTTAAGAAGATCAAACTGAATGTGTAGCTATTTGAATCACCAAAAAATTCCTAGTGGTTCAAAAGTTATTGCAGTTGGCTTGGGATAAACGCAAGCAAAGTATTGGTGGTAGTGAACGTGTTAAAAAGGATTAATAAGTTTAGTGGTGTGGACTTGGTTAGGAGGAGGTGATATAATGCTGAGTTTGGGCGTCAGCGCCGGGCGTTAACTTCACACAAGTATAGTGTATTTATTATAAAAAATGGTACACCTAGAGGCACTGACGATATTTTATTGAAATTAAGCATACATATTTATTTATTGTCTCTGTCTAGATATCTAATTGATTGAAATTTCAAGCAGGATAAAAATCCTCAAGCTGTTTTTTATCCTGCCTGAAATTTTTATCAATTATACAGAGACGGTAAATACATATACATATATGCTTAATTTCAATAAAATATCGTCAATGCTTCTAGGTGTACCCTTTTTTATGATAAGTAGTATATTTATTTATTATTCCTGTCGCGTTTAAAGTAAGAACCCTTAAAACTTACAAAAGTTCAACGGCTTATAATCCAACTAACCGTGCAGGATATGTTTCGTCGATAATAAAACTGAATTAATGCAATTTAAAGAAGTTACAGGGGAAATTTAATTATGTGTTGAAGATCCGTTAATTTAATAGATGAACATATGAAGGCGACATAATTTAATTTATGAGTGATAATTGAATTTTAAAAAAATTCATTCTATCAACAACTACCTATGAAGCAGTTAAAAATATAGTTTATATGCTATTACTAGCACTATTTATCTAAATATGTGTTATTTACATTTTTAATAGTGAGTGAATATGTGTAGCACTATTATTTTTATTCTATGGATATGTTATACATTAAGAAATAACAAGATTTTGATTTTTGAAGAACTGTTTTTAAGCTCCTTTGGAGAACAGGTGAGCTCATTATATATTATGTTTACAATGGGAAATTCTCTCATAAAAATGAAATGTATGAATAATAAAAAAAAATATGATAAAAGAAACAGTAAAATTTTGTTCTTTAATAATAATTACTATACATACTTGGTAAACTATCAATGAATGTGTTTAGCTTCGTGGTCGAACCAAAGTAAATAATAGATCGAACATGGAGAGGAAAACAATTTTATTTCTAAAATTTATTGTAACCATTTTGAAAAGGTTTAAGATAAGTATTGGTATGTTTCCACACCACAGTTATATTAAATAAATAATCAACAAAAAGTAATTTTAAAAAACAGACTTTAAAATCATGCAGATGCCCTTAAAAATTGAGGCTTTTGATTTTCTCATGGATCATCAGATCCTGACCAATTGTATACGGAACTACCCCTAAGGTATCCCCTTTCTATTAAAAAAAATCATAGACATCGGACAACGTGGTAAAGAATTAACTCTGAACATAAACATATTTTATAAATTAGTAAAAATCATAAATTATATTTAAATTATTTATTTTATGATAATAACCTAAAATAATTTTTAATATTTGTAGATTTTCGTTAGTGTGGTTCGTAGAAAAAATATACTGTAGGTACAAGTCGAGTGGATTGTCCATATCCACTCTTATCACTACAATTTTCTACGATCACTATCGCTTCGACATACAACCGCAAAGTTAATATTTTCCGCGAACTGACATTATGTGACAGCTTTGTCGCTCGCCTAATTTAAATTAGATATAATATAATATTTCTTTTTAATAAATGATTTTCAAGTTATTTGTACGCAGTTTGATGTTTTTTATTTTATTATCCAAGTTAACAATAACTTTAAATTTCAACTCCGTTTTTCATGATTAACTTAGATATAGGCATCACATTATACACTACTTATGGCAAATTTTCATTTTTTATATCTATTTCTTAAAATAATGGATCGTAGAAAAAATCTTGTGTTCATTTTGAGCGAAAAGTTCGTTGCCGCTTTCGACAGATTGCCGCGCTCTGCTACGCATCGCGCGACTTACTTTCTGTTTTAGAGAAAAAGCCCACTCACGCCACAAGTCGCGCGCCGCAATACTTTAGATGTTTTTAAATGACTCAACGCCCATAAACGCGGTTCTGTCGTGTAGTCGCACGCGGCTGTAAATTATAAATGACAAGCTCGC